TCGCTCTCGCGCGGGCCTGTCCCCAGGCAGGACTCCTTGCTGTCGGCGAGGGTGGGCTGGCGCCTGCATCACCGTTACATCACCTCCATTCAGGGCGCTTATCGGGCGCCCGTCGCGCTCCAGGTACGTGCGCTCCGTTTACACAGGAACAAAGCCTGCCCGGGCCTCCCCGCCCCGACTCACCTCCAGGCTGGGCCGACTCGCACTTTCCGGCTAGGGAGGGAGATGGGAGTTTCTGGCCCTGCCGGCGTGTGGTTTGTTGCTGTTGACTGCCACGCCCCCGCACGCGGGCGCGCGCACACTCACGCGCACTCACTTTCTGGGCTCGGCCTTCTCCGGGGCAAGCGGTGTGGGGGTGCAGCCCTGCGCACACCCGACCGCGTCTCCCAGAGAGCGCGCGTACGGACACGCGTGGGGCTACCTTGACGCGTCTCCGTGGGGGACACCTAGCTTTTGTCACCTTCGTCCTGGCCCTCCCGTGAGACACACTTAGGGCACAGTTCGCTGGGAGCGGGCCGGAGCGAGGCGCACACTTAAGACACAGAGTCCGTCTTTTTGTCACGCCTTCTGCGTCCCCTCCCCTCCCCAGCTTGCACACGTGGACACACCGAGGTTCGCCTTTTGCACACGCGGTCCTTCTCTGGGACCCCCCCACCGGTCACAAAGCGTACGTGGGATGGTTACCAAGTGCTCCTCTCACGCGTGGGCCGAGTCCAGAGCCACTCCGCACCGTGGGCAAAGGTCGCCCTGGGCCCGACTATCCCGCGCCCGGATTTCCTGCGACCGTTCCAGGTTCTGCCCAATTCGGAGCGCGCGCTCCCCTCCCAGCGTCCCGGTTCCCTGCTCCGACTTGTCCTAATTAGTCTTCACGGTTTTGTTCCCCGAGGTACAGTGTTTAGCGCGGCCCCCTCGGTCTCTGCGCTCCGGGACACGTCGGCTCTGACTCCGAGTCCGTCCCCTGCAGCAGCCGGGGGATCTTTCCAAGAGGTCAGGTTCCCACCAGCCCCACCCCCACTCCCTGTCCCGGGGTGGATCTGTGGGTTGCCACCCTTTCCCCTCCGGCCCCAGGAATCTGCTGAAGGTGGACCGCAGAAATTGGGAAGCGAATCCAGGCTGGGACTTCTCCAGCCCAGTAAACAAGAGGAGATTTTCCGGCCGCCTTCCCCCGGGGCTGCTGGCCTCGCGGCGGGTGGGGTGCGCCGTCCCA